TCCAGACACGAAAAAAGACAAAAAAAAAAAAAAAATGAAAAAATAAAAATAAAAAGATGACCAGTAAGGGGATCTTAACCCTTGACTTGGTGTTGTCACCACGCTCAGCCAAGTGAGCACCGGCCAGCCTAGTTTCTTTTTTCTTTTTTTGTCTTGCAAAGTGTCTAAATGTTTGTTTAATTTTTTTTTTTTTTTTTTTTCTCTTTGGAAGTGTTTTTGGGGATCTGAAATGATTTTTTTCTTCAGTATTTATTATTATTTTTATTTTTTTTTTTTTTTTTTTTGGTGGCTGGCCGGTATGGGGAACCGAACCCTTGACCTTGGCGTTACAAGGGTGCGCTCTAACCAGCTGAGCTAACTGGCCAGCCTCTAAATGTTTTCTGAATTAAAGTCTGTATTTCCAATTTCTTTTGGAAGATCAGAAAACCTATTCTCACTGAGCCAGAATCCCCATAAGACATGTTGGCTGGAGCAGAGCACATCTCCCTAGTCCACCCATCCCCGCCATACTCTCATCTGGCATCTGGCTCCTGTGGCATTTGAGTTTGCAACCTGGGGACTAGCTGATCCTATTCTCCTAGCCCCTCTCTCTCACTTCTCCCTGCCTTATACATACTTTTCCAGCCCTGAATGCCCTCTTGTACGCATGCTGCCTCTTTGCCACCGTCAAGTGTCCCCTTTGGAGGGCGAAGCAGGCAATCTGACTTTCTGGCCTGCCTCCCCCTCCAAAGGGCAGAGTCAGATTCCAGCACAAGGCCTGGCACACAGAACAATTCCATTAATATGCCTGGGGGGAATGAAAGAGAGGGTGACATTCCACCGGCTATGAATTTGGATATATCATTAGGGGCAGAGATGAGGAGGGCAGTTCTCAGGATTGTCGCAGCTACCAAAGCTTTGAGAGTGGCCCAGGAGATTAAGGGACTTGCCCAGGATCCAAGTGAAGGAGGTGCAGAGCCAGACAGAACACGGGCCTGAACACTTCATGCAATTTCAGCCACCAGAGGGCAGCCTTCTGCGGGAGACGATATTGGGGGAAGTGGAGGCCCCAGCAGGCATCCCACTCAGGAGGTCATTGCCCACTGTCTCTTCTCCAGGTTATGGCCATATGGCACCACTATCAGCAGGTGGAAAGGCCTTCTGTGTGGCCTATGCGGCCCTGGGGCTGCCAGCCTCCCTAGCACTTGTGGCCGCCCTGCGCCACTGGCTGCTGCCTGTGCTCAGCCGCCCGGGTGCCTGGGCAGCAGTCTACTGGCAGCTGGCACCAGCCAGGGCTGCACTGCTGCAGGCAGCTGCACTGGGCCTGCTGGTGGCTGGCATCTTCGTGCTGCTGCCAGCACTGGTGCTATGGAGTCTACAGGATGACTGCAGCCTGCTGGAGGCAATCTACTTCTGCTTCGGCTGGCTCAGCACCATCGGACTAGGGGACTTGCTGCCTGGTCGTGGCCGTGGCTTGCATCCAGCGATTTACCACCTTGGCCAGCTCGCACTTCTCGGTGAGTCTGGCTGCCAAGGAGCGGAGGCGGGAGGAGGGAAGAGCAGCCTGGACTACCATTCCTATAAACCACTGGGGGCCTGGGCCTTGCAGGTAGAAGGAGCCTACACTAGAGCATGGTGTGGCAGCTGTAGTCCAAACAACCTTGGTGGCAGTGTTAGGAGAGGGGTGACACTAGATGCCAGGGTGAGAGGTGGCCAGTGAGCATCACCAGCACCCCAAGAGCTACCCTAGCAACCTCTCCTCCCCAGGTTATTTGCTCCTAGGGCTCCTGGCCATGCTGCTGGCTGTGGAGACCTTCTCAGAGCTGCCACAGGTCCGTGCCATAGTGAAGTACTTCGGGTCCAGTGGCCCTTCGACCACTGAGGACCAAGATGGCATCCTAGGCCAGGCTGAACTGACTCTGAGCACCCTGCCGCCCGCCGCCCCAGCCTCAGAACAGGCCCCGGCTTGCTGACAGGCGTCAGGTGATGGAGTTCAGCTCCTTGAAGGTGGAGGAGCCTGAGGAGGAAGCAGCCAGCCGTGTGTGGGGAAGAATGTGGACTTGAGGATGGGGCGGGGTGGGGGAGGATGCGGGGACCTCAGGGAATAATGTGTTACTAAAATTAAAAAACGGGCAACAGCCTGGCCGGTTCTCGCGTCTTCTTTGGAAGTGAGCCTTCCCTATGGCCATCATCCACAGGGAAGGAGGAGCCGAAGTCCAGCCTCAGCCGGCCTCTGGGACCCTCAAGGCCCGCCGCCCCCCCCC